GGGAGGTGTTTAGGATTCCCTGTGGAATGGTCATTTGGGCGGGAGGGGTAGAGCCTGCTCCAGTGGCGACGGAAATAGCAGCAGCGCTGCAGCAGCAGCAGCTGCTGCAGCAGCAGCAGCAGCAACTGGAGCTGCTGCAGCAGCAGCTGCTGCGTGAAGAGCAGCTCTCCTCCTCGCCCGAACAGGAGCAGCAGCAGCAGCAGCAACAGCAGCAGGACCAGCAGCAGCAGCAGCAGCAGCAGGACCAGCAGCAGCAGCAGCACCAGCAAGACCAGCAGCAGCAGCAGCAGCAGCAGCAGCAGCAGCAGCAGCAGGGGCTGCTGGTGGACGGGTCTTTTAGGGTTTTGGGGGCCCGGGACATTTTTGCTGTTGGGGATTGCTGCAGTGTATGTCCACCTCCGCTGGCAATACACCACAAACAAATAATGCTGCTGGCCACAAAAGAAAAAGAAAACAAACAACTCATTGGTCCGCGAGGGTTTAGGGTTTAGGGTTTAGGGTTTAGGGTTTAGGGTTTAGGGTTTGGGGTTTGGGGTTTGGGGTTTGGGGTTTGGGGGTGGGGCTGAGGCGCAGGGACGGTGTCCGTTCCTAAAGCGCGCCGTCCAGGGTTTAGGGTTTAGGGTTTAGGGTTTAGGGTTTAGGGTTTAGGGTTTAGGGTTTGTTTTGCAGAGGGGAGTTGGCTGTACCGGCGGCGAGGGCTTTTAGGGTTTTTATTTCCGCAAATGGCAGATGGAGAAAAAGAATTAAAAAAATATAAAAACAAAAAACTCAATCAGCAGCAGCTGCTGCTGCTGCTGCAGGTAAGTGCTGCTGCTTCCTTTTTCCTTTTGCTGCTGCTGCTGCTGCTGCTGCTGCTGCTGCATATAGCAGCTGCTGCTGCTGCGGCAGGTAAGTGCTGCTGCTTCCTTTTCCCTTTTGCTGCTGCTGCTGCTGCTGCAGATAAGTGCTGGTCCTTCCTGTTTTTGCTGCTGCTGCTGCAGCTGGTTAATGCTGCTGCTTCCTTTTTCCTTTTGCTGCTGCTGCTTCCTTTTTCCCTTTTGCTGCTGCTGCTGCTTCCTTTTTCCCTTTTGCTGCTGCTGCTGCAGGCAAAAGCTGCTGCTTTTATTTTCTTTTTTTCTTTCTTTTTTTGTGTCCTTGGGAATGCTGTGTTTGACTCTTTTTGAGCTGAGGGTTCTAGGGTTTAGGGTTTAGGGTTTAGGGTTTAGGGTTTAGGGTTTGCGCACAGAGCATCGACCGCAGCTACATTCCGCCTGTCCGTACAGCTCAAAACGCAAAAGCAGAAGCAGAATTTCTCGCCAACATTTTTAATTTATATTTATCAAAGGAAAAAGAAAACACAACTGCAGCAGCAGCAGCAGCAGCAGCAGCAGCAGCAGCAGCAGCAGCGGGAGCCCCAGCAGCAGCAGCAGGCGATTCGGCGGCAGCAGCAGCAGCAGACCCCGCAGGAGGAGGCGCAGCAGCAGCAGCAGCAGGAGGCCGCGAAGCAGCAGCAGCAGCAGGAGCGGCTGCAGCGCGCGTAGGCGGCGCAGCAGCAGCAGCAGCAGCAGCAGCAGAAGCAGCAGCAGCAGCAGCAGCAGCAGCAGCAGCAAGGCTGCTGCCCGTGTACCGCGAACTGCGGGGAGTCAGTCTTTGCTACTTGGGGGGAAAAGTAGCAGCACTAGAACTTCCTTTTGCTGCTTTTGCAAACCACTTTTGCTGCTGCTGCCGCTTTTTGGTTTATTTGCTGCTGCTGCCAACAAAAAGACAAAAGATCCAAGCCCTTGCAGACTGGTTCGGGGGCTCTTTGCTGCAGTAGTGCTGCAGCAGCAGCAGCAGCAGCAGCAGCAGCAGCAAGAGCGGCAGCAGCAGCGGCAGCAGCAGCAGCAACAGCAGTAGAAGCAGCTGCTGCAGCAGAGAAAAGGCTGCAGCGGGGGCTGCGGCTGCAGCAGAAACAGCAGCAGCAGCAGCAGCAGCAGCAACAGCAGCAACTGCAGCAGCAACTGCGCTACAGAAGCAGCAGCAGCAGCAGCAGCAGCAAATGGAAAGAAGGCTTTATCAAATCGGGCCAAAGGAAAGGGGAATCAATAAAACCCTAAACCCTAAACCCTTTCTACTGACACATCGTTTTACTACTCAGCGTAAACCCTAAACCCTAAATCGGGGTTTAAATACAATTAAATTGCGCCTAAACGCGAAACCCTAAATTGGGGTTTTAATTTAGTTAAACATCTAAGCTGAAGACACAGGAGTTCTGTTCGTTTATTAATGCCTGTTATTTATTTTATTATTTATTGTATTATTTATTTATTTTATTTATTTTATTATTTATTTATTTTATTATTTATTTATTTTATTTATTTTATTATTTATTTATTTATGCGAACAGCAGCTTCTGCTGCTGCGGCGAATGTAACTTTTTAATTTAGTCTTTAGGGTTTAGGGTTTAGGGTTTAGGGTTTACGACTTGGGGTTTAGGGTTAATAGTTGCGGTTTAGGGTTTACGGCCTAGGGTTTAGGGTTTATAGTTCAGGGTTTAGGGTTTATAGTTCAGGCTTTTAGTGTAAAGCTGAGGCTTAGGGTTTATAATTAGGGTTTAGGGTTTACGATCTAGGGTTTAGGGTTTACAATTGATGGAGTAGGCTTTAAAGTTGTGAGGTTAGGGTTTATAATCTGGGGTTTAGGGTTTAGGGTTTATAATTTAGGGTTTAGGGTTTGAAATTTTGAAGGCCTAGGGCTTCTGATTGGCGGCTGAGGGTTTAGGGTTTATGACTCCGGGCTGAGGGCTTACAGATTAGGGTTTAGACCCTCCAAACTAGGGTTTAGGGTTTACGAATTAGGGTTTAGGGTTTAGAAGATAGACAAATAAAAGGGATTTAAAAAATAAAGATAAAATTCGAATGGAATAAGGGATTGCAGCAGAAAGCTGCAAGCCGAGCAAAGTAAAAGCAGCAGCAGCTGCTGCTGTCGCTGCTGCTGCAGCAGCTGCTGCTGTTGCAGCAGCAGCAGCAGCAGCAGCTGCTGCTGCTGCTGCTCTAAACGATCTTGTTGCTGCTTTGATTTGCTGTTCATTCACTCCTTTTGAACAAAGCCTTTATCTTTTCTCTTTTGCTTCCTTTTGCTGCTGCTGGTGCAGCAGCAGTTGCTGCTGGTGCTGCTGCTGTTGCTGTTGCTGCTGCTGCTGTTGCTGCTGCTGCTGTTGCTGCTGCTGCTGTTGCTGCTGGTGCTGCTGCTATTGTATCTCCTTGCTGCTCGTTTTGAGGGTTTGTCGATTCTCCCTCCCTACGGGCCCAGGGAGACAAAGCAGATGCACGCAAACCCTAAACCCTTTTTTAGGGTTTGGGTGTCCTAAACCCTGTCCTGGGGTTTGGGAATCTTCTGGCTTCTGCAGTTGCCGGCGGTTTAAGCTCTACAGTTGATCCGTTTCTCCGTTCAAGGGTTTAGGTGCTTGGGATCTACAAAACCCTAATTTAGGGTTTACGCGCATACAAGGGGTGGCCTTTATACACACCTGACACTTCTAGACCCTCGCTAGGGTTTAGGGGCTGTGAAAGGGCTTAGGGTTTTGCTGCTAGGGTTTGTTACTGCTAGGGTTTGCAGCTGCTAGGGTTTGTATCTGCTAGGGTTTGTAGCCTCTAGGGTTTGTAGCAGCTAGGGTTTATTGCTGCTAGGGTTTGCAGCTTCTAGGGTTTACACCAGCTAGGGTTTAGCTAGGGTTTAGGGTTACGCCTCGGTGCCTGTGAATAGCCTTGAGTCAAAAGGAAGGGTTTATTGCTGCTCCGCCGGAGGAAAATAAGACAAGTCTGAAACCCTAAACCCTAAACCCTAAACCCTAAACCCTAGGAGCGCAGGGTGGAGAATTACTTCGCCTTGCCCTGGTTGGCAACAGCCGCAATCCTCTTCTGCGCGCACAATCCCAAAGCCCAAACCCCAGCCCTAAACCCTAAACCCTAAACCCTCGAGATCCCCCCCCCAGCCGCTGCAGCGAGGGTTTAGGGTTTAGGGTTTAGGGTTTGGGACCTGGACTTCCGCTTCGTCGAGCAAGTAGTACTTCTTGATGGGCTTCAAACCCTCGTCCAATTCGTAAACCAATGGCACTGCTGTTGGAATGTTTAATTCCAAAACTTCTTCTTCAGACATTTTGTCCAAATGCTTCACAAGCCCTCGCAGGCTGTTGCCGTGAGCTGTACGTACACCCCAGCAGTCTGCGGTGTCTGCGATCTGCGGTGTACGTACACCCCAGCAGCCGCTGGTCGTGCTGCGCAATTGGCACTTCTTTTGCTCGTTTTGCGTTTTATTTCGCAATTAAAACTTCTTTTATTTCTTTTCAGTTTTTAATTTCGCAAAAATTCCCCAAAAAATCCAAAAAATCGAAAAAAAATTCAAAAATCCAAACGCATGCAACGGCGGAGCTGTCCATACACCCCAACTCCGCGCGCCTCCGCTCTTCTTTTCGAATTTTCCGCCTTTTTTGTTCATTTAAATTCCTTTTTAATTCTAAATTTAATTTAATTTAATTTAATTTGTTATTTTAATTCAATTTAATAAACAAATCCCGCATTTATTCCTCACCCACAACCAACACCTTCTTGTTCTCCAGCAAAGCCGGGGCAATCTCGTCGAAATAGTACGGGAGCACTGCGCGCAAACCCTAAACCCTAAACCCTGACTAAATCCTACCTAAACCCTAAACCCTCACTAAACCCTACCTAAACCCTAAACCCTAAACCCTCACTAAACCCTCACTAAACCCTAAACCCTCGAGCTCGAGGGCAACAAAGCCACGGCGAGTCTGCAGCACACCGCCTGGGCCCAACCGCCTGCCGGCGGCAACCCCCCCACACCCCAAACCCTAAACCCTAAACCCTAAACCCTAAACCCTAACCTCTCTCCACAGTGTCCTTCAGGCACTCCGTCAAAGGCAAAACCTCCTGAGGAAGGTGTTTATACTTTTCTTCAAATTTGGCATTTCTTTTATCTTCAGGGTCTAGAGGGGGGGGCGGCACGGCGTAGGCCCTGCGCCATATCTTCACCTGCACGCAAACCCTAAACCCTAAACCCTAAACCCTAAACCCTAAACCCTAAACCCTAAAGCCTGGGTTTTGGGGGCTGGCTCGGGCCCTGGGGCAAGGGGAGAAGAGGCCTGCCGGCGACCCCAGGCAAACCCTAAACCCTTCGGCTCGAGCCCCAAACACTCAACCCCAAACCACAAACCCTAAACCCTAATTTAGGGTTTAGCGCTCACCTGCTCCTCCCCGTGCTTCGCGGCCGTCTCGGCCTTGTTGAGGCCCTGCAGAGCGCCGTAATGCCTTTCATTGAGTCTGACAAATAAATAAATAAAATAAATAAAATAAACAAATAAAATTAATTTAAATAATAAATAAATAAATAAATTAATTAATTAAAATAAATAAATAATAATAAAATAAAATAAAGTCGGAAATAGTTCTGGCGCCAGCAGCGAGCCCCCACTCCCCTCAGAAGTCCAACTGAGTCCAATTAGGGTTTAGGGTTTAGGGTTTAGGGTTTGTGGTTTGTGAGGGTTTGCGTTTTACCTCCAGGTGTTTTTAATGGGAAGATAGCACTGGTTAGAATGCATCAGCACAGTCCAGCAAGTCTCCACGGCCCTGAGACAAACCCTAAACCCTAAACCCTAAACCCTAAACCCTAGGCCCTGCGAGCTAGGGTTTCTCTGCGGGCTGCGGATAGCTGCTGAAGGCTCAAACCCTAGAGCTGCAAGCCTAATGGCTTGAAGGAGGTTTTTGAGCGTGACTAAACCCTAAACCCTAAACCCTAAACCCTAATTTAGGGTTTGGGGTGCGGGCGTGAGCAAACACCTCTTCAAAACGCTGGTGTAGGCCACGTCGAACTTCAAACCCTTTTCGCGGATCATGTCGCCAGCCTCTCTGCAGAAACAAACCCACAAACCCTAAACCCTAAACCCTAAACCCTAAACCCTAAACCCCAAACCCTAAACCCTAAACCCTAATAAATTAATTAATTAAAATAAATAAATAATAATAAAATAAAATAAAGTCGGAAATAGTTCTGGCGCCAGCAGCGAGCCCCCACTCCCCTCAGAAGTCCAACTGAGTCCAATTAGGGTTTAGGGTTTAGGGTTTAGGGTTTGTGGTTTGTGAGGGTTTGCGTTTTACCTCCAGGTGTTTTTAATGGGAAGATAGCACTGGTTAGAATGCATCAGCACAGTCCAGCAAGTCTCCACGGCCCTGAGACAAACCCTAAACCCTAAACCCTAAACCCTAAACCCTAGGCCCTGCGAGCTAGGGTTTCTCTGCGGGCTGCGGATAGCTGCTGAAGGCTCAAACCCTAGAGCTGCAAGCCTAATGGCTTGAAGGAGGTTTTTGAGCGTGACTAAACCCTAAACCCTAAACCCTAAACCCTAATTTAGGGTTTGGGGTGCGGGCGTGAGCAAACACCTCTTCAAAACGCTGGTGTAGGCCACGTCGAACTTCAAACCCTTTTCGCGGATCATGTCGCCAGCCTCTCTGCAGAAACAAACCCTAAACCCTAAACCCTAAACCCTAAACCCTAAACCCCAAACCCTAAACCCTAAACCCTAAACCCTACTCACCGGGCCTCCTTCAAACCGTGCTCAGACAGAGGCACATCTGTCCAGCCAGTGAAGCGGTTTTCTTTGTTCCAGGCAGACTCGCCTGCACACAAACCCTAAACCCTAAACCCTAAACCCTAAACCCTAAATCTTAAACCCTAAACCCTAAACCCTAGATTGCAGACCCTCTGCGGATGACTTGCGTTGGGCGCAGCGACGGGTGCAAGCTGCGCCTCGACGAAGCCGGAGAGAGACAAACCCTAAACCCTAAACCCTAAACCCTAAACCCTAAACCCTTGGAGACGGGAGACAAGGTGACTCGGCGTGTCTTTGCGCGCCCAAAGGCCCTAAACCCTAAACCCTAAACCCTAAACCCTAAACCCTAAACCCTAAACCCTAGACAAGAAGCAGCAAAGGAGTCAGCGAAAACGCACCATGGCGGACGAGGACGAGGTAGCGGGGGGACATTTTCAGGGTTTAGGGTTTAGGGTTTAGGGTTTAGGGTCTAGAGTATACAAAAAAAGCTAATGCAGCAAAATTAAAAACTCTAGTTTAAACACAAAAACGAAACAGACGAGACAAACCCTAAACCCTAAACCCTAAACCCTAAACCCTCGTACAGCAGCATGCACCCAGAGGTGGGGCGGCGCGCCGCCCCTGCGCCCGAAGCCCTAAACCCTAAACCCTAAACCCTAAACCCTAAACCCTAAACCCTCGATTATAAACAGTCGGCACTAATTTCTTAAAAACTGCTCAAGCTGGAAAAACTAGGAACAAGCGAAAAGCCCAAACCCTAAACCCTAAACCCTAAACCCTAAACCCTAAACCCTCGCTCAGGGTCTGTCTCGAAGACGAGCCCCAGCGCTCCTTCTCTTTGCCTTATTCTTCTTTCAAAAAATTAAAATAAAATAAATAAATAAATAAATAAATAAATAAATAAATAAATAAATAAATAAATAAATAAATAAATAAATAACAAAGTAAACCCTTTGTTTCTACTCAGATTCCCAAGAGATGGCTCTGCGTCTTTCCAAGCGCTAAACTCTAAACCCTAAACCCTAAACCCTAAACCCTAATTGGTAAACCCTCACATTTTGGCCCAAACTCGAATGATCCGCGAACGGCAAGCTTTCGAACCCTAAACCCTAAACCCTAAACCCTAAACCCTAGAGAACTGTTGAGTGGAATTTAGTTTGGCTTTTGCCGTCCTAACAGCCCAAGCTGCGAAAACCCTAAACCCTAAACCCTAAACCCTAAACCCTAAACCCTAGATGGACAGCAGCCACTTCAAGCAGACCAGATTTGCTATTCTTATACATTTTTATTTCTATTACATTTTAATTTATTTATTTTAGCTTGATTATTATTAATGCTTTTTCTCTAAACCCTAAACCCTAAACCCTAAACCCTAGAAGAACCATCTGGCCCTACTCAATGCTACAAACGCTAAACCCTAACTCTAAACCCTAAAAAGGCGTTTCGGGCCAGCCCAATGCAGCCAAGAAGCAAACTAAACCCTAAACCCTAAACCCTAAACCCTAAACCCTAGGCTTCAGAGGATCCAATAAGCTTAAACAATTCCGCAACAACTTTATTCTGAAAACCCTAAACCCTAAACCCTAGGCCTCAATCTCTGGGCCCTAAACCCTAAACCCTTAAGTCTATACATCAAATTTTATCTCTTGTGAAGAAGTTCCCGCTGCTCCCCCTAACCCTAAACCCTAAACCCTAAACCCTAAACCCTAAATCTAGCAGGATGTCTCTGCTAACGCTAAACCCTAAACCCTAAACCCTGCAGGCTTCCTCTGCTAATGCTAAACCCTAAACCCTAAAAGCAGCGGGACCTCTCAGCTAACCCTAAACCCTAAACCCTAAACCCTAAACCCAGCACGCAGTCTCAGCTAACCCTAAACCCTAAGACCCCTAGACCCAACAGGCTGTGTCTGCTAACGCTAAACCCTAAACCCTAAACCCTAAACCCTAAACCCCAAATGAGGTTGTGCTGCTCGGCGCTAAGAACTGAGCATAGAAAGTTACCTTGACTTGCTGTAGCAAACTGCAAAACCCTAAACCCTAAACCCTAAACCCTAAACCCTAAACCCTCGTTTCACTCTGCGTTTGCCGACGCGGCGCAAATGGAAAAGCCGGGGGCTGCAGCTGTTGCTTCAAAGCCCTAAACCCTAAACCCTAAACCCTAGGGCGAGGGTTTAGAAAAGTGTTCTGGGTCCCTGAAGCAGCTGCAGCTGCTGCTTCAAAAGCCCTAAACCCTAAACCCTAAACCCTAAACCCTAGGGCGAGGGTTTAGGAAAGCGCTTTTGGGCCCTCACGCGGCTGCAGCTGCTGCTTCAAAGCTTTAAACCCTAAACCCTAAACCCTAAACCCTAAACCCTAGGGCGAGGGTCAAGAAAAGCGTTCTGGGGCCCTGAAGCAGCTGCAGCTGCTGCTTCGAAGCTATAAACCCTAAACCCTAAACCCTAAACCCTAGGGCGAGGGTTTGGAGAAGTGTTTTTGGGCCCTAAAGCGCAGCAAGGGCCACTCGCGGTGTACGTACACCTGGCCATATATTTGAATTAACTTCTGTTTATACTTCAGCAGCAGCTGCTGCTGCTTGTGCTGCAGCAGCAGCTGCTGCGGCTGCTGCAGCAGAGCCACGACGGCAGGGTCTTGCTGCTGCTGCAGCTGCTGCAGCTGCTGCTGCCGCAGCTGCAGCGCAGCAGCAGCAGCAGCAAACCACCGCTCCACCTGCTGCTGCTGCCCTGCTGCAGCAGCAGCAGCAGCAGCAGATTTGTTTATTAAAGGGCCTGCTGAAGGGCTGCTGCTTCTCTTCGCCTTGTCTTTGGACCCGAAGCAGCGCGAGGCCCCAGCTCCTGCTGCTGCTGCTGCTGCTGCTGCTGCTGCTGCTGCTGCTGCTGCTGCTGGGGAGAGCAGCAGCAGCGGGGCAGCAAAGGCCGGGTGAGGAAAAGCTGAAATGCGCGAAAGTGCTGCTGATAGCCGAGACGCCATCGCTCCAAACCCTAAACCCTAAACCCTAAACCTTAAACCCTAAACCCTAAACCCTAAACCCTAAACCCTATGGCCTACCAGCAAGCCGCAAGCGGCACAGTAGTAAGGCCTCCGCAGCTCCGCTGCGCACTCAGGGTTTAGGGTTTAGGGTTTAGGGTTTAGGGTTTAGGGTTTAGAGTTTGGGATTGAGTGTTTGGAGCTAACCAGCAGCTCCCCCGGCCTGCTGTCAACGTAGTTTGGCTGCCAACAAAGCCCAAACCCTAAACCCTAAACCCTAAACCCTAAACCCTAAAAGAGCGGCTCATGTTGGGCTTAAGCTGGGGCTTCCAGCTGAGCAGCAAAAAGAATACCGTGAGGGGCCCCCCTTGGGGCCCCCGAAACGACACCTGCTGCTGCTGCTGCTGCTGCTGCTGCTGCTGCTGCTGCTGCTGCTGCTGCTGCTGCTGCTGGGGCTGTGTGGTGGCAGTGGTGGGGTTGTTGTTAATTATTTCTTTTTTAAATTTTATTTGTTGAAATAAAAAACAATTTAATGCAGAGTTGTTTTTATTGAGGTGTACAGACACCTCAGAGGAGCGGCGCGAGCCTCGCCCGCCGCCGCCGCGCAAGGGTTTAGGGTTTAGGGTTTAGGGTTTAGGGTTTAGGGTTTACGGCGACCTTCTGCGGCCTCGAGGGTTTGCTTGTGGCCTCTCTCGTGCTGCACCCTTCTCCGGCCTCCCCCCTCGCGAGGCCGCCAGTCCCACGGCCCACGGCCCAGGGTTTAGGGTTTAGGGTTTAGGGTTTAGGGTTTAGGGTTTAGGGTTTAGGGTTTGGGGATGCCGCACCCCTCCAAACCCTCCGAGGGCTTCCGCCCCTTTTCTTTGCTGCCGAAATTCCCCCACCCTCTTCAGGTGTACAGACACCTCCCGCCTTTGGCTGCTGCGCAAGTGGATGTCTTCGAGGCCGCCACGGCCCACAGACTCCGAGGTAAACCCTAAACCCTAAACCCTAAACCCTAAACCCTAAACCCTAAACCCTAATTCCTGGCTTCAAGGGCGAGCGCGGGAGAGGCGGGCTGCGACCCGGGACCCGCAGCGCCGCTCTGTCGCCCGAAACCCTAAACCCTAAACCCTAAACCCTAGGCTGCTGCTTACACCGGCTGCTGCTCGGGGCCCTAGGGTTTAGGGTTTAGGGTTTAGGGTTTAGGGTTTAGGGTTTGCGCGCAGGTGCCGCGCCCGCGAGACCCTGTGGGGAGCTCAGCAGCAGAAGCTCTTTGGAAAACCGCCACGGGGTTTTTGAGAGGCCCTTTGGCGCAGCAAGTGCAGCAGCTATATCTCGTAAACCCTAAACCCTAAACCCTAAACCCTAGACCCTAAACCCTAAACCCTAAACCCTAGGCCCTAGAGGCTACTGCAGCCGCCTCGTTGCTCCCGCCTGCGGAGCGCTTGGAGTTCCGAGTCGCTGGCGTCAAGAGTTTAGGGTTTAGAATTTAGGGTTTAGGGTTAGGGTTTAGGGTTTAGGGTTTAGGGTTTAGGGTTTAGGGTTTAGAGTTTATGCGCGCTTTTCAGGTCCCTTGCTTCCCGGACGCTGGGCACCTTGTGCGCAATCGCCGTGTGTACATCAAAAGTAAGAGCCTAGGGTTTAGGGTTTAGGGTTTGGGGTTTAGGGTTTAGGGTTTAGGGTTTAGGGTTTGGGGCTGAAGGTTTTTTAGTCCGTAGGCGGCGTGAAGACGCTGCTTGAAGTCCAGGGTTTAAGGCTCGGAACTTGGGATTTAAAGTTGAGGGTTTAGGGTTTAGGGTTTAGGGTTTGGGGTTTAGGGTTTAGGGTTTAGGGTTTAGGGTTTAGGGTTTAGGGTTTAGCGATTTTGTTCAGATATGATGGCATACGTTCCGGATTATGACTTGGGCGCTGTTATCTGTGGGCTGCTGCGGTGTGTGGCTAAACCCTAAACCCTACGAAACCCTAAACCCTAAACCCTACTACATCCTAAACCCTAAACCCTACTATATCCTAAACCCTAAACCCTAGACCCTACCTTAACCCTAACCGGAACCACCAAAGCTCACGCACTGCTTGCAGTTACGGCGCAGGTCTTGCTGCTAACGGTCAATATCTAGGGTTTAGGGTTTAGGGTTTAGGGTTTAGGGTTTAGGGTTTAGGGTTTGTGTTGCAGAGCAGCAATGAACGCTTCCTTTGAGCTCCTCGAAGGCCGCCAACATACTTTGCAGGTGTCAATACACCCCAAACCCTCACGCTTGACGACAAAGGGTTTAGGGTTAAGGATTTAGGGTTTAGGGTTTAGGGTTTAGGGTTTAGGGTTTAGTGCTAAGGGTTTAGGGTTTAGGGTTTGTCTCAGAACACTGTTTTCTCGGACCCGCGAGTTGGGAAGCTCTTGAGCGCTGCGCCGACTGTCTACTTAGGTGAGAAAAGGGTTTGGGGTTTAGGGTTTAGGGTTTAGGGTTTAGGGTTTAGGGTGTAGGTTTCGAATGCAGGCTGGGGTTTCAGGATAAGGGTTTAGGGTAGGGCCTAGCTAGGGTGTGTGGCTTAGTTTACATTCTAGGGTTTAGGGTTTGCATGCAGGCAAGAGATAAAAACAGGGGTTTAGGGTTTAGGGTTTAGGGTTTAGGGTTTAGGGTTTAGGGTTTAGGGTTTGCCTGCAGGCAGAGATTTCAACAAAGCTGCAGTGAAGAGCACGGAAGAGCGCCTGATGCCCCAGTCCATAAAACAGGTCAGAAAACTCTAAACCCTAAACCCTAAACCCTAAACCCTAAACCCTGATTGCGAGGTTCCGCTCGATGAAGTTCAGGGCTAGGGTGTTTCATTTCTTGGTTTCCAGTGTTTAGGGTCTACGGTTAAAGGCTGAGGGTTTAGGGTTTAGGGTTTAGGGTTTAGGGTTTTGTCTCCAGGTGTACAAAGACTCATTCCCCCCTTGCATGCGCCGCCTCTATGAGAGCTACATGTAACTCCAAACCCT